TAGAAATAGAAATATGTCCGACTTTCAAAACGATCCTTCCCAAAGACAACAACTGTTTAACATTTTCAAATTATTTATTTTAAAAGAAACGAATGATAAAAAAGAATAATTAATTATTGAGTTGCAATATGTTGTAAACATTGGTATAGTCGATCTTCTTCGATCTGTTCAACAAGATGAAATAATTTTTCTTTAAATTTTTCATAATATTTAAAAGTAGTTATATTCAGTCGAAATTGATCAAGATTGAAAAAAACCTTCGATATCATTACCCAGTAAAGACTGAAATAGTTTCATTAAATAGAACAACGGTGCTTTTTGATCATTATATTTTTGAAAAAATTGTAAAATTTGATCTTTAATTGAAAATATTGATTTTTCTGGTGGTTGAATACATTGACGAAGGAGTTGTAATAAAGTATGAAGAAGTATAGAAAATGATTTTGATTGAATTTTATTTAAAATATTATCAATTCGTTCATGATAAATGATTTTAATGAAATCTATATCAAGAACATCAGAAGAAAATAATGAAGATAGAAACTGCTGGAGAAATCTCGAGCAATCGGTCGAATATCTCTGAATTAATTTGATGAATATAGATAGAATCTCAATAATATGTTCTTGATCAGATAAATCTGAAATATATTTCGAATTGGTGACATTGTTTTGATAATAGATGAATTTTAATTGAAGAAATATTTCATGGATTAAACAATTGAATGCTGCTTTTAAAATTAAATATTTTATCAAGAGCTTCAGTATAAGCTATTTGTACTTGTGTATAATCTTCTTGATGACGATAATGATCAGCATTGACGATAAACTCATCAATAGATTGAGGTTGCGGAATAGGATTTGGGACATGAACTGAAAGTAACAGTTTACTGATTAGCAAACCAGTGCGAACAATTGGGCGAGCATGGTTTGGATCCTGGTACGTAGTTATCATCTTTATTTTGGGTATTTCTGCTAACAACTGAGAAATTGCTGCGCTAATATTATTTGGTAAAACATATGGCTGAGCTTTATGATGATATTCTTCTGCAAGATCAAAGTTGCCAGACTGATTGTAACCCATTACTAATAATGTATAAACATTACCAAGAAATTCTTTATCTTCGGAAAAATATGAATTTTCCAATGCTTTGTTTAAATGAAAAATTGCTTCAAAAGATTTATCATTATGTATAAGATAATAACCACAGAGACAGTGAAAACTACCGAACATTCTATGTATCGATGGATAATAGCATTCAAAATATTGCATTGCTGTTTTCATTATACTTACGACCAACATTGCTCAATCAAATTGCTCGTATATTTGCTGCAACATCATCAAAAACACCACTTCTTCTAGAAGGACCACCTGGCATCGGAAAAACTCATGTTGTTACACAAGTATGTAAACTATTGAGTAAAGATTGTGAACGAATCAATATGTCTGCAGATACATCACTTGATCAACTTATCGGTTGTATTATACCTCGTTGTATTGATGGTCGACGTGTATTCGAATGGCAAGATGGTAAGGTCGTAGATGCGTTGAGAAATCATCGTTGGATTTTATTCAACGAATTGAATCTTGCATCACCAGAAGTATTAGAAGGTTTAATACCACTATTTTATCGTGGATCAAAAGAATTTATTGTCCCATCAATAAATGAACATGTTGATACATCTTCAGCACTCATATTTGCAACAATGAATCCCGCGACCATAGGCAGAGGACGAAGTAAATTACCACGATCGATTAGTAATCTATTTACAATTGTTCAACTTGAAGATTACAAAGAAGATGAACTTCGTATTATTCTCAGTGATTTATTTCGATTCGATATAAACAAATTGACAGTCAATAATGAACAATTGTAGAAAATTTTTGAATTAAATCAAAAAATCAAAAAAGATTCTGAACAAAGCACAATAGATTCAATGGGTGGTCCATCCGAAATGAACTTGCGTGATCTATCAAAAATTTCGTGATGTATTTCGTGGTTCGATACGAAATCAGATGCATCACTATAATATATTAATGCGACAGATAATGAAATGAAAGATCTTGATACAATGCCAATATTTTCCAGATCGGAAAGTGTCGAAACAACCGCTTTGGATGCAAGATGGAAATAAAATTCAAGGTGAATTTATCGAAATCGAACGTTGTCTTGCCGAATTTATTTTTGGACTAATCGAAAATATTTCATTTTTCAAATACAGATCAAAAGAAGCAAATTATGAATTACTCACTTTATTCATTGATGAAATTCTACTTCGAATGTATCAGAAAAATTCGAATTTACATAACATCAAACAATTAATAGCAAGTTTACTTGATAATAAAGAAAATCAGCAAACTGTCGATGATCCATTCGAATTACTGAAAAATTTGAAGATTATTGAATCATCTATCAATAATCAACAAGAACAAAATGTTGAATTAAATATTCAAGAACTTATTCAAAAGACAAACAATTTAAAATCATCATTCGATAATGTCTGCATATTGTTTATTTTTTTTGTTTTTCATTAGTCATTAACAAATCTTTCACTCATCATTCATTCTAATAGTTATTTTTCTCTTAATTAGTATTGTGTCATTTTGTTTGTATTGCTTGTAAGTGATGATTCGATTTCATATATAGACTCACTCTTCACCCTCATTTTTTATTATGAAATGTATGATTTATTTTATAGCTTTACATTAATAAAATCCTCGGAAATATCTTTCTGCCATGCATCGATAAAGTTTTTCTTCTTGTCTTTTTCAATGCGAAAGGCTACTTCAGCTCCATTTTGATCACTTTCAATCCATCAAGTGCCATCATATACTGGATTGAGACGAAATACATAGATATATTCATATACAATTTATTATTATTTCGAAACAAAAACCTACAAAAATCATGTCTTGAATTGATCAGTTGTTGATAGTTGACGATAACGATTTTAATAAAGGTTTACCAATATGTTTTTAACATTGAATTTATTGTACCGTAGTCTGGTTCATATTTTTAAATGTAAAAAAAGAAGAGAAGAACGAAGAAAAAAGAATACAGAAAATAGTTTAAAAAGAAGGAATAAAAGAAAGCTCGAGTCAACAAACAAAATCCATATAGACTAGATGTACCTCTATATTATTTTCTTGACGTTAGATTTCAAGAGAAAAAGAAAAAACTAGATAAATCGATATACGAGAAAAAAAGAAAGAAATATTTATGTATATGTAAAGAGATATGGGCAATGTATAGAGAAAGTTAAGTTGTGTAAGAGAGAAGAGAAAAAATGATAATTGTTACATATTGTCAAGGTTTATTAATCAGAACCACCTATAACTACATCAATTGATGTTGATGCAGGATCTGAAAACAAAAGATTGACAAATCTTCCAGCTTCACTTATATGTTTACCATTTAATAATTTTTGCGGAGTTGTTGCCGACATGATGTTATTTGCCGTATCAATTTTAAGTTGTCGTATGATGTGGGAGATTTCATGGATTATTACTACTAACAATGCGCCCCAGTGTTGAATAGTGGTGTCAATAGTTGATTGCAAATCCGAATTCCAGCTAGAAATAAAAGAAGAAATATCTGCTTCCTGTTGACATTTTGACTTAAAATACTAAAATCTCTTTTATAGAATGGTCGTTAACAATATTTAGAGATCAATCTCTTTCTAATGCATAAATTTCCATTTTTAACTAATCCTGTTGCATTAATTTTTTGGACCCTTTTCTTAAAAATAATGGCTGTAGCGGGGAAACTATTAATCCTATTACCTATCATGTCTGGAATACAATTGAATATACAATTTAATGCTCCATTCAATATAAGTTTTCCATTGAAACATGTAAGAGCGCAGTAATTCGATGGCAAAGTACCAATATATAATTCATTTTCTAATTTATTCACGATGATATTTAAACAATCTTTGACTTGATTCAATGTTATTGTTTTCATTTCTTGTTGCATCAGTTCCAGAAATGCATCAACAACAAATCCACTACCGATTACATGTTTTAAAAAAACCAAAAAAAATTTTAAAAGCCAAATTTGTTGTATCCACTAGTTCAATCGGATTTTGAATAGCATTTGCAAACGCAGTTACATTGCGTTGAGAACAACATAAATGTTTATTTGCGATTAAATACAAGACACCGGTGATGAAGTATGACAGTCATATATCATCTAAAGAAACAAGGAATAAGTTTTTCATGAATAACAGATATAAAAAAACAGAGATAGATGGAGAGACTACTCCAATTCAAATAGTGAAAACTTCCTGTTTCAATAGGAGTGTGTTATTTTACGGAGGCTTGCCCGGTTACATCTTCGAAAATTCTTACAGAAGTAAACACTTGGCATTGATAAAATCTATGTTGGAAATTATCTTCTTGCAAAAGAAAATTTAATCATAGGAATATTATATCAGACACTATCACAGTATTAAACGTTTTCTTTACATTCTAAGATCATGATCAACGTTGTCTAATGGATCGAAATTGCGTGCTTACGACAAATATATACAAGGTGGGCCAGATAATTTTGCAAGACTTTCCATTTGAATTCGCTCATAAATGGGGTTTCAGCAAAAAGATCTTTTATGTTTATTGTGCTCAGGCACATGTCTACTATTACTGTAATAAATATTACTTCTTGACCATTACTTGTTTTTGAGCAATTCAAGATGAAAGAAAATCGATTAATTGTACAAAAGTATTTCAACCTTGGAAAATCGGCTAGTGAAATTATCAAATTAGTGAAACCAATCGGTATTAAAGAACGATTCGTTTATTATACGATTAAGAGGATAAAAGAGACTGGCTCGATCGAAAACCGTCCTCGAAAAAAGCGGGAGAGAACAGTACGTACCAAACAAGTTATC